CCCCCCCCCCCCCCCCCCCCCCCCAATCAAGTGCAGCAATAGCTGGTTAGCATTTCTGTTGGTGTATCCCACGTCCCCATGCGGTCCCACTACCTGACACTTTACTCGCGATGAATGGTTTAGCTGTGGGGGCGAAAGCTGCCCGGTGATGTGCGCTCACGGTGACCGCTCGTCTCGAGCAGCTGGACCCATGAGCTGGACCCGTCTGCCGGTGTCACCCAGGCACAGTCAGACAAAACAACAGTTAATAAGACAGATGGTGACTGCCAATCAATGTCCGGGTCAGACATGCATGTTTTTATTTGTAATAATGTGTCACACTCAGACGGGGTTTTCCCAACCAGACTCACAGGGTGGCGCTGTGCATCACTTCCATGCCCGTGACCTCACCGAGTTGAAGGGCTGCAGTTCTGCGTGCCTCCACACGGTGCCGCTGGTAAAAGCATGTGTATTCAAAGGTGATAGAGAGTGTCAAGATAATACCCTTTAACCCTATGATTTAACCCTGTGGTAAACCTTCTGCTAATGTATTTTTCTAACTTTATTTTGTAATTGTTCGTTGTCAACTAAGTTTTGGACAAATAAACATTTTCAATATTTCAATGGATACAGTTTACATAGACCCCCACAAAGTACAGTTCATGATTATGGTAAAGCAGATACACGATTGGGGGCATTTATATTGCCTCTCAACGGCTCAACTATGGAAAGCCGAAATTCCCATTAAACGCCTCTATTTTCACACGATATATGTTAAAAAACGCTGCTTTTTGCGGCATCGTTAACCAAAAAAGCGCCGTTTTTTACACCGCTCTACAGTGCGTAACGGCGGCCGTGAGCTGACAGAAATACATCTTAGCGAAAACGGAAGTACAATGGAGTGAAGCCTCTTGCGTCCAACTCGCAACAACAACTATGGCTGCCTCCTGCTCGTTGGTGTGTTGCGAAGAGGAGAGTGATTCCGACAAAGCTGTTATTGGTGACTGTCTCACACTTGTTTGTCGAGTATTTGTTTTTAGAAGAATGAAGTAATTAGAACGGTTGCAGTAAATGTTGGGTGGTGCTTAATTTTGTCTATGTATTAAACACCCGTTTGTAATGCACACGTGGGTGCTAGCAACAGGGCTAATTGTTTAGTGTTGTGCTTACTGGAGTGGAGTTTGTGTTAAGTTACATTGCTCGGTAGTGAGAACCCAGTGAGAAAAAATTGTTCATAAAGTTGTTTTATCTTGTTAGTCGCAACTTGCATCCATTAAACACTGTTAACGTGTAAACCATTCGATATGTGTCCATGGTGCTGTGAAACCCAGATATCGACACGGTCCTCGTTATGTTTCGCCTTCTCACAGTCCGCTTTTCCAACGGCAACGTCAAAAATGCCGACAAACTGGATTTCACGATGTACAAGAACGCAGACGAGAGTAACCCCAGGAAAAAGAGCAGGCGGATAATGGTGAGAAATACGAGTGGCAGCGTTCATGTATTTGCACTGTTTACACACACACACACACACACACACTAAAGGGTGTGTGCATCGTTACGTTTCATGAACCTTGCTGCTCGCGTGTCTCCTCCGTGTCTAGGCTGTGGAATCAGGCAGAATGTCCTACGTTGGAAATAACTTCGGATCCGGGTCTTTGAAATGCAACAACCTTTGCAAGTAGGTCGACGCATTGTTCTTTATTTGTTGCGATCGTGGGTCAAATTCCACCGTGAAGAGAAGTAGTACGTGTGCTGTTTGGTCGTCTGTGCAGATATTATGTGGGAGTGCTAAACAGGGAGACCATGCAAATGGAGGTGCACGAGGCTCAGCTGTTCAACATACAGCCTGTCCTACCAGGAGAGGCTATGGAGGAACCGAAAGCCCAGGACACGACCCAGACCTACAGAGACAAGGTGCTGGGATGTGTCCAGCTCTTCTTACAGTTGGAATAAAAGAAGAATGAACTCTAACGTCTCAATCTTGTGCATTTGTTTTCCTCTCAAGGTGGATTCTTTGATTGAGGCATTCGGCACCAACAAACAGAAGAGAGCTCTGAGCTCCCGCAGGCTGAATCAGGTGGGCGGTGATACCCTGCATCAAGCGGTGACCAAGGCTGCCAACACCGTGATCAACCAGAAGGGTCTGGAAGGTAAGCTCTGTGGAAGTTAGTGGTCTATAAATCTACTACCAGTCACCTGAGGGCCCACCTCAAAGAAAGGTTGGGATAAATAAGGAGAGAAAATGGTCATGTTTAACTTAAATACCTAGCTCCACAAAGTCTTCTTCTGTTAATCTATTTTTTTTTTTTTCTCGTCCCTCAGCTCTCCAACAGGAAGTTGCTGAAACAGAGGCCCAGGGAGACCTGTCTCTCCACCTGCCCCCCTGCAATGCAACCGCTGACAGACCTGAGAACGTCTACTTATTTGACGACCGTATCCTTAATTTTCCTCGTGTGTGTGTGTGTGTCAACGAGGGCGCGCATGAACTGCAGATGGGCTGAAAAGATAACGTAGTGTGAGCGAAAGCTTGTTTATTTTTTTTTTCCTTAATTGATACCCGCAGTCCTGAGTCCAGTGGAGTTTGGGGCTTTGGAGCAGGCTGGCTCCAAGATGGCGGCACTCACCTCTGAGGACATGCAGAAGATGCGAGACGACGGAGGGTAGGGCGACGAAGGGCTCACGCTTGCTGAGACATTTAATTTGTTTCCTTGCGTTCTGATGTTGTCTGCACTTTCAGGTCCTTGTGTGTGGCGAAGCACCTGGAGAACCTGCCGACCGTGGGTGAAGCCAGAGACAGAGGGTCACGCCTCGCCTTTTACCTGTCGATGCTCCTCAAGCTGGCGCGACAGAAGAACGTCTACTACAAGTGTGAGTTGTGTTTTTATTTTTGCCTTCATCACGCGCGTGTCAAAAGTGTTCCCAGACATGTCTCTGGACTGGCAGGCTAACTGTGATTTATGTTTCCACCAACAGTTGGGCAGGAGGAAGGCTGCCCTCGCATCGTTCAGACCAAACTGCTCAAAACGTTCACCGTGGAGACTTTCAACAACGGCAGGTAGGACGGAACTTTGTCACTTTAATCATCTAGATATTGTCTGAGATTTTAGAATATCGTTATGTCTGTTTCTGGTTTTAACGGCTGCATCACGGTGAAGTGATACCATTTAACTGAACTTACCAGACTGCTCAAACCCGCCCCTCCCGCATTGTTTTCCTTTACCCACTTAATCTTTATATCCACACCACTGATTATTATTTATCAAAAATCTTGTGTAAATATTTAATATATAACTCTACAATATCGTCTCAATGTTGATATTAAAGTATTTGGTAAAAACTATTTGCTTTTCCTCACATGACCCAGCCCTGCCCAATAGACCCCCATGTTAAAATGCCCAAATGTACAGCGGACAAAGCATGTTTACAGCCTGGTATAAGTGTGACGCCACAGAGACCACGTCCATATTTTGTCTGTATTCTACACCCAGATGCATTTATCAGAACAGAGCATGTAGGTCTTACAAATAGAATTGTTGTTACACTGATTTCTTTGAGAAAAACATTTCCTCTGAATTTCCCTTTTTTCTCTCCTTACCTTCTTCTTCAGGGTCCATAACATAGTGTCGTCATCGATGCGTGCCAAATTAGCGGCGTACTCCCTGGCCCTGCTGCTGCACATGACTCACATGACCGGCGACCTCACGTTACTGCACCGCGACCTGGGAATCACGGAGGCCAGGTATGAATAGAAGGCATTTGTCTATGGAAACTGTAATATATGTCCTGTTTAAAAAACATACAGCGCATTTAGAATGCGTGTCTCAAAGGGGGGGGGTTTTCTGCAGTTTGTGACTCACAGCCTCTTTCCTGTTTACGTAAATGGGAATGTTGGTGGTATAATTATTTTTATTAGACAAATAAACAGTTTAGGATTAAGGGCAAGAACCGGAATATTTAGTGCATGTAAACATAGTGTGTTGCATTAAATGAATTAAGAACACTTAGTATTACTAACTCATCTACATATATTGATGTAAATAACCTTTTTTTTTGTTTTCCGCGTATGGCTAACCATCACATATGGAGCTGTGAATTGTATAATTCTTGTTGTATACCAATGATCATCACGGCACATAAAACACCGTTAATGCGAGGTCCATTGAAGAACTCTGCATTCAGTAACGGGTGGCTTTGTGTCTCCCTACAGGATGACTGAAGTAGCAAAGTCGATGGGACTGACTCTAAGTAAACCGCCCCGGGGGAAGGCCGACAAGGCTGAGCCGCGAGACACAAACCGCCAGGCCTCTCTGGTTCTGCCTCTGGTCAAATACGATCCGTTCATTGAGAGGCGGAAACGTAAGAAGATGCACTGAGGGTCACGATAAGAACCGAGTAGGGAAGGAGGACTGTACCAATTGGAAATGCCACAAACAAGAAGTGTTTATTAATGCGTTTTGTAGACAAATAAAGTGGTGAACTTTGAGTTGTACATGATATCGCTACTTATTGCTTACTGTGCAAGATACAAAAAAGCGGACACATTAGGGATGACGGAGAACATCCGGCGTCGACGGTAAAAACAGAGGCACATTTGACAAAAGCACATATTGCACACCTAATATCCATTTCCCTCTATAACTGGCTATCACCAGATGAGTGTGTGTGGTTGCACAAAACGCAGACTCACCAGGGTATGGATCTGTGCAAGCAGAAGTGTGGCCTTTTTTTTTTTTTTTTTTTTCCCCCCACACTATGAACACTCCCTCCCTCAGCTACAATCATTGAATAAAATAAACAAAAATCCAACAAGGCACAGCTTTGTTTTGTAGCGTGGTTGGAGCTGACATCTCTGAAGCCCGAGACTCCTCGGATTTAAAAAAATGTGCTCTTCCCAACCAGCGAGTCTCGGAAGCAAACGTGACGGAACCAACGAAGTCTACAGCAGGTCTGCACATGAATATGTGAACGTAAAAACCACACGATTAAGTTAAAGCTTCAGTATGGAAAAGATGTAGGGTGACGACGATGCTTTGAACTCCAGCTCCACTTCATTAGCCAACATTTTGTTGAGTGCACTGACCATTTGATCATAAAGTTACGAAAGTCTGGTTTCAGATTTACAAAAGGTTGTGGCACCCTAAAGTACTGGAAGGGGGAAGGCCCCTTTAGTGGTTAGACTGGGAGCAGTTAATAGACCTCTAACAAGAGGGCATCATTTTGGAAGGTCTTCTCCGAGGAGGAAGGTCAGAGCGCTCCAAATGTTCAGTGTATATACACACACACCAGTTCAGAAGTGAGAAGACGCTGACCTCTGTCAGTCCGAGTGGTTTCTGAGTGCTTGCCAGCGTTCACAGGATGGAGCAGAACATGCTGCCACTGTGGCAACTACTCTCCACAGTGGCACTGATCCGGGTCGTCATGGACATTCCCAGTCTGGAGGGACACTGGGACGAGGACAGGCCAGACGGGGAGCTGGCCAACGGACGAGCTGGAGGGTTTTCCAGAACCCAGAGAGGAGCAGATGTACTGCTACATGGAGCAAAGAGGTAAAGTAAGAGGTAAATACCAGGCAGAACATTCATACAATAATCAGGAGCAGTGCAGATGTTAATCCTGCAAAAAATGAGGTTACTTGGGTTACTTTTGGGTAGCAGAAACACTGAGATATCACCTTTTTAAAATGATATGGTGAGACTGGACAAAAAGGAACATTGTGGAGCATTTAGGGGGATCAATTGACAGCAATGGAATATGATATAAGTGTGTTTTCTTCAGTGTATAATACCTGGAAATTAGAATCTTTAGTTTTTCTCTAGCTTAGAATGAGCTACATACGAGTGGTCATCACAGAGTCGGCCGCCATGTTTCTACAGTAGCCCGCAGCGGACAAACCCAACACTGGCTCCAGAAGGCACCATTCACACATGGCACACTGGAGCTGTTTTAGTTGGTTTCAATCTGCCACCTCACCACTAGATGTCACCAAATCCTACACACTACACCTTTAATATTGTTCTGAATTAACCATTCAGACAAAGGCTGTGTAAAATTTTTTTTATTTTTTGTCTTTCCAAAATTATATCACATTGCTTGATTTTAAGTCTAACCCTAAATGTTTTTTGAAGGAGGATCCCCAAACCTAATATCTTTTATTCACTTTAGAAATTCATGATTTAATGATTGCTGATACTGACCAAAACACACGCAAACCTGGGACTAAGGGGACTACTGGTGCTTCCTGTGTCTGTCCGTCATTGTTTTTGGCTGAAAACTGCTGTCTTCTGCAGCTCAGAAAATGACCCTATGAGAGCGGCGAGTGAATCAAAGCTGCACTGCTGCACTGAGACTTGTTATAAAGCTGAGGAGAGCTGCAGATTCAGGTGACGATTGTCATCACTGTGATCCACTAAGATAAAATGTTCTCCAGTCTGTGTGGACAGGAGAAGAAAAGGGGAGATGAGAGAAGACCGTAAAGCCACGGAGGGTCTGAATCTCTGGCTTTTTTTTTTTGTCAGTTGCCTAGTTACCTGTTATTATGCCTTAGAACACTGTTGTTGCGCAACACACAGCTCTCATTGCCAGGATCCATATGTAGCAGCGGCTTCTTGTTTCCCGGGTGGCCCTGGAATAAGAGATTGTCATGGACGACACCTTTCACCGGCCCGAGCACAGCAACGCCACAGCCCTGTGCTGGCTGGACACGGTTGCGCAATACCTTAAGAAAATAATTGAGAAACCTATAAGAATGTACATACTGTAGGTGAAGTGTGTTTTGTCATTATGGAGCTGTGTACAGTGCTAACTGTTTAAGCCTCAGGTTGATCTCACCTTGATGTCAGCGCTGCCAGACACCTGGATCCCGTATCCACGGTTCCCAACGACGTCATTCTCCACAATCTGCCCGTTACCGCAGAAACTGACACCGTGGCCACTGTTTTTATAGACGCCGTTGCCACGGAGCTCCGCTCGGCAGTCTTTCTCCACCGTGACGCCACCGTGGCCGTTTTGGAGGATGCAGTTTGTCACCAGCCGGGTCAGTTGGCTGCTCTGCAGCACGGCGACGCCGGTGCCGCGGTTGCTGTTAACGAGATTGGCGAAAACATTCAGGGGCTCGCTGCTCTTCACATACAGACCCACCGCTATGGAGAGAGACGGAAAGATGGAGGGACCGTTAGAGACATGAAGTGAACAGCACTTCTATTGATCTACGGGTCGGTCAGTACCTCCATTGTAGCTCATGCAGTTGCTCTCCACCAGGGCCACGCTGATGGAGCGGCGGGCAGAGTGGCGCTCGTCCTCGCTGTCCAGATCGCTCTCCCATGCGAACAGTTCCCCCTCTTCATTCAGGTTCTCCTGCCCTTCTCTCCCTTCTCCCTCCACCCCTCTTCTTTCCCTGCTGCCTGCCTCTCCGCCCTCCTGTCCTGGCCAGTTCCCCTCCCTGGCCTCCATGTTCTCTGGGTCTTTCCTGCAGAACACCGCCAGCCCGTACATACAGTTGTGGGTGATGTAGTTCCCCAGGAGCTGCGGGAGGCTGGATGACATAACCCACACACCGCAGCCTTTGTTACCTGAGGAAACAAGACGGAGAAATGAAGTGCCGCGGTCGGTAGAGATCAAAGGTCAGCCGTTATGTCAAGGTAAATGTATGACGCTGCCGTCATCAGGCTGAAATTACACACAGTAGACGTGATTTCCCTCAATAAGTCCGCGGCCTCTCTCCCCCACCACGACACCGTCAGAGTAGCCGTAAGAGATGTGGTTGTTCCTCAGCACGGGGTCACCACCTCTGCGAATGTCCACACCCCCCCACTGGTTCTCTTTGATCACATTCTCTGCAATTAAAATGTATTTATACGCAAGTAAAAGAATGGTGCTTTTCCTTTCTGTAAGTGGTGCAAAATGAAGACTTTAGTGGAAATGTTATCACCTGTTATCATCCCTCTGCCATTCTCGTTTATAGCGATGCCCGCCGCCTGGCCCTGGAAGATGTGATTCCCACTAAGGGAGAGGGAGGGGGGGAGAGAAAACGAGACATTATGTAGCGGTCTATTTATGTCAGCTACTGCACCCATAGAAACACAACACTTTCACTGTCAAATGCAATTACATTTGAAGGGAGGGGTAGTATGAACACAATAGCATCCAAGCGATGGGAAAAGCAGGGGCTTCACATCCCTGTATTTAGATTCCACACCTACCTGACCACAGGATTCCCGCTGAAGAGAATATACACGCCCGCCTCTTTGTTGTTATAGATCAGGTTGCTCCGAATTGAACCTTTTCCGTTGCCAAGGACAACAACCCCCGATCGCAGGCCGCTGTGTATTTTGTTGCACTGTGGAATGAAAGGCAGAATGATTATGAAAACTAAGAGCAGTTCCGAAATGACCTCAAAAGAATCCTTAAATCTGTAGAACCAAGTTTGTTGCGGTGGTAGTTTGACGAAATAATCGTATCCATGAGAGGCTGTCTAACGCTCTGGGGAGAAGCTAATGAGTGGACCTTATTTTGTCAAATGTGGGTATTGTTCCCTTCTCACTCGGCCGCCACAGGAAGTGGAGCAGCAATTACCACAATGATGGGGTTGGCCCCTTTTCGGATGTCCAGTCCCGCCTCCCCATTCGAGTGGATGTTGTTTTCGGCGATGAGGCCCTGAGAGGAGAGGCGCAGGAACACGCCCGACGCCCGGCACTCGCACACCTCGTTTCTCAGCATCACCACCTGAAGGAGGTGAGAGAGGAGAGCAAGTATCACTCATGACTGGAAACCCCCGCTTAATTAATAATGATCCGAGCTGCTTCCTTAACTGGATACATGACTCAAAAGGTGTGCATCTTGTAAAAGTCATTGATCAAGTGAGACTTAAACGTGTTCAGATACAATCAAGAGACACTCCGTAGGTCTGAAGAACGTTCTTACTGTTACTTACTGTGGAGTTCTGGATGCAGCGGACGGCATAGTTCAGCCCACGGAAAACATTGCCCTCCAGCCGAGCCTGCCCGTAATTAGACAAATGCACGCCGCCCTTCCCCTCCCGGAAGAGGCAGCGTCTGAGGATACAGCCGAGGGTGGAGGCCGCCAACATCTGAGCCTCCGGGTCCCTGTCGAGTTCCTGCTGAAGGGTGAGGGGCACGGGGGTCACAGACGGCGGATCCGGGGAGGAGGCCAGTGGCAGGGAGCCATCTGGTCGGAGCTTGAGCAAATGGGAAAGGCCATGGTGGTCACAGGGGATTTTATAATCCAATATAAGTGGGTTTTTGCTGTGGTTGGGTCCTCCTGCATCCCGGTTCTCCTCCTCTCCCTCGCTGCGGTCGCCATCACTCCAACCATCTTCGATCACTGTGCCCTGACACACTGCATCCACCCCAGTCCTCCTCTGCCAGTCTTCGTTGCTCACATGCTCCTTTTTTACATTAGCACTGGGAGTTTGATGCCCGCTAGCGGAGCCAGTCAGAGGGCCTCTGGGAGGGCTATTGATCCCAGACGCGCCGCATGAAGGGAGCGTCCTGGCCAGAGCAGCCAAGTGTTTACAAGCCCAGTTCCTTTCCGACACCGGGAGACCCTCGATGGTCACAGAGGCCGTGTCACTTCCCGAGAAGTCACAGCTGTCCAACAGACTGAGGACGACGCCCAGCAAGTGGGCAGAGCTGCCCTGTGAGAAGGAGCAGAAGCGAGCCTGGCAGGTTCCCGGGCCACGGATTTGCAACTGAGCCCCCTCAAAGTTGCAGTTATCCAGTTGGACGTGACCCCATGACGTCTAGAGCGGAGCAGGGAGAGAAAGGTGACTGGAGTGAGACAGATTCAGCAAGAAAGAAACGTGTGAGGTGAGCAGACTCGGTTATTCTGAACACATTCTGTATAATAAAAAAAAACACCATGACAAGATGCTACTTCACCTTGTAGACCACGGTGGAGAACCAGGGTGGCATGAAGACCAGATTACACAGCCGGGCAGTAGGGCACTGCTGCTCCATACACACCAGGAGGGCCACCTCGCCCAGCCGACCCAGCCCAACCAGCTCCACGGGCACCTTCAGTGCCACTTCAGCCTGCTCCTCATACACCCCTGGGTGGAGAACCACACGGTCATATGGCCCCACCACCCCAAGGGCCCCGCGTAGGGTCTCAAACTCACATCCGGGCCCCACGTGCCAAACCCTGCGGTCCTTTCGACGACGGAAAAAGAGGAGGCACGCGGAGGACTGGAGCTCCGGTCCATTTTGAGTCCAGGTGCGGGTGCACAGGGCATGCTGCTTCAGGGCTTCTCTCCAAGACAGGGGCTCCTGGTGGGGCTGACTGGGCCAGTTGGGGTGTCTGCACTCGGGGAAGCCTAAGCAGAGTTGTCTCCAGCGGGTGTTGTCCAGTGAGAGGATGAGCTCCCGCCAGGCACGGCACACCTGGCAGCAGCGGCCCAGGTCAGGGAGCGGAAGGTAAGCCAAGATAACCCTCCACAGCTCCACGGGGAGGCTGCCTACCTCCATGGCAGCAGAGACACTGCGACGGGAGGGGCCTGGAAACACTCACACGCACGTGCAGTTAAGGCAACAGAAACCGCGAGCGCCACCCGTTACACAATAACAATAAACAATTGAGCTTGTTAATGGTCACACAGATGCTACCGATCCAATTATACAGTGGCCAGCTACTATTGTATCTCGCTAAACTGTGTTACATTAGCAGGAATAAACAACACGTAGCGAACCAGACGTGATGGAAATGACGCCGTGAATTCTGTAACGTTAACGTTGTTTTTAATTTAACGTCTCGTGACTAAGTCTTCCACGTAGGCCTGCGACATTAGCCTACGTTTAAAGTTTGCTACGATAAATGACGGTTAGCTAGCTAGGTAAGTTAATATTTACCTAGTTATTGCCAAACCGCGCGGAACTGATGTTCGCCACAACATCAACTAACACAGCAAAACATCGCTTCCGTCAAAACACTTATTTTACCTTTTACCAGATGGCCATAGTTAGACGAGTCAACACATGTCTGTTGAATATTCAATGCAGCTATTTTTCCAGCGTTGACGTTGCACGTATGTCCTCACCGCTTCCAGAGTTCATAACAATCCGCGATGCGTGCAGATGTGCCATCGATAGGGAGCTCAGACGATATCTTCCAGTTTACGGCAAGAGACCGTGAAACAAACAAGAGGGCTGGCTCCATCTTCCGCTTCCCAAAGGTGGGCGTTAACCTTATGGAAGGAGGCTGTTGTTAACATCGTCATTCAACCCCATGTGAGACAGACGTGTGTACTTCAAGCTGATGCTGCGGAGGATAGATGACGCTTTAGTCCTTGTCTCTCACATCTCTAAATGTCCGCATGCTTTTTATGTCTTATGATTAGTTAAATCCTCAACTCAGCTCACTAGTTGGAAAGAATAAACCATAAGATGCGTCTGCCCTGTCACTCACACACAGGCCTACTTTACTGTAATATTAAAAGTGCTGTCATTACACTATAACACCAAGAGTCCCAATTATGTGCTGTTTTTCCCCCATTCAGAGTTTTTGCTTTCCTTCAAGTTGTAAGCAAATAGATTCGAATATGAAATACAATTTTTAAATAACAAGCAAAGAAAAGAAGGGAATTTTGTCACAATTTTCCCATTAACACACTAAATATATATTCATCAATTTGTTTTTCTGATTCTTAAATAATCACCATCATCAAAACCCAAGATGGACTTTAGGAAACATCTGCTGCAGTTGATTTGGAGTGTGATTCCTCTGCCTTCTCTTGCAGGAGGGCTTTGGCAAGGCTCCGGAGGATTCAGTAATCCAGCTGGAAGTCACTTTCACAACCCAGTGGTGTCCAATAACTGGACCCAGCTTCAAAGTAGGTTTTTATTTTTTACTTACAGCTGTAGCCCAAATGTGTGACTTTGCTGAACCTCTTCTGACTAGATTTTGAAGGTCTTAAGGAGTCATTTTTTTATTTTTTTTTATTTCAACTTCTACCTAGCACAATATGACCATAATATTCATCAGGCAGTGGTTTTACAGCTACTGTGTAATGGTAAACAGAGCAAGATGCTGCGTTCCATTTGAACAGAGAAGTGAGGTGAACCCGAGTGTGACGTCGTTCCCAACTACAAATTCTGATTTCTGAGGTAATGATGCAAGAAAATAAAGTAGACCTGGATTAAGAGCTGTCTGACGTTGTGACATTTCAAAGGCTGATTTGACTCCTGGCTTTCAAAACCATGTTTTCAATTAAATTTCAAATTGTTTACATTGCGTCAAATCATAACAATAGTATGTAAGTATTACAGACGCCCAACTTTCCCCCCCATGAACAATCGCTGGGGCAAGAAAAAATCCGGTAGAAACCTAGCAGTTTTATATTTTGTTAATTAAACACAAACTAGAAGTTCAAGGAACTCTTAATATCCTCCTTTATCCAACTCCCGTTCTATGGATTGATTTACTCTTTCCAGTGTTGCCTGGGTATGTTCCCTTTTTGTCCCCAGAGGAAACGTCAGAGAAACACGGACTGTGTTTCTAAAGGTCGATGTTGATGAGGCTCAGGTTGCATAAATGATGCACATTTACAAACCTCCATGTAGTAAGTAACTGAACACGTTAATGTGTTTTACCAGGATTCAACCTCAGAGCAGAGCACTGACGGTATGACTTTATGATTCAATCTATTTCCGTCAATGATATCAAACAGATATAAATAATAGAAATGGTCGAATTCAGTTGTTTCTTTTGAATAAGATAAGATAGAATTACATTTTTATTTCAGAGTTTGATCAAAGACAGAAGAAAAACCAATAAAATAAAGATGTAAACACGTATGAACAATAGAATAACAATTACGAAGTGTAAAAGAATACGGACAGCAGTGCAGAATAGAATAGCAATAAGAGTAAGGTAAATAAATGCACTTAACAAAAGCCACCAAAAAAAAGGTATTATTTGAGTTCCATGGTGTGCAATGTATGTCCAGGAGGTGGCGATGTCCTCCCACTGACTATTCAATCCGACTGCAGTTGCACTGTAAAGCAGCATTGGTTGGGAAGAGACAAAATCAGAGATTAAAAGGTTATTGTAGAGTCCAATCTAAAAATGTTTCATCAAACAACACATAATGTGTTTACATGCAAAGTGTCATCATTATAGTTGATGCGACTTGGTTTAAAACAAAAGAGCCAAGCTGAATTTTTGGATGCGTAGTATATTACATTCAAAGATGGAACAATGTGACGCCAGCGAACGTTTTAGAATACTTTTATAAAAGGTCTGTATTATTTTATGTATTTCTTTGTCTATTGCTAGAATGTTCTATACAAGGCCACAATAAATCAACTGTTCTGGTAAAATCCTGGATTCAAACTATGACTTGAGAGAGCTTTTAACAGATTTCTGGTTGTAAGTCATGTCCCAATATATTCACAATCATTGTCTTAAAGCCAAATGCTTTTTTGAAGACATAGGCGTACAGAACTTTTATTATTAAATATATCTACTGTAGGCCTATATAATCTCTAGTGTAGAAAACCTACAAAGCAGGCTGATAAGTGAAACAGCAAGGCTGGAGTTCTACTCTACACGTGAATTTAATTCTGTCTTGCAGTCTGCAAATACACCAATATACTATTAATATTGTCCATTTACTTTTGTGCATTTAAAAAACATTTAGTATATGATTGTTCATCCTGCTTTACATTTGAAATACAAGACATGCAATGTTCAACATGTTGCTCAGAATGTTGTGGCACCATGCCTTTACTTCTCGCCGGCAAACAGTAAATGGAAAAGTTGGCTAAATTAACTTTTTGAGTATCGCAGCTGCCGCACGACTCTTTACCAGGAAGAAAGAAATTTCTCTTTGTGCTCCACCAGCGTAACCCATGCTTCCACTGTGAACTTCAGTGGTGATAACAACTCTAAAAGGTCCGTCTCTCCATCCGAGCCAAACCTGGGAAGGTTTGTTCTCCGAGTATACATGTTCACATACATACATACATACTGAATATGTGCGGATGATCTTTTACTCACTATGTGATCACAATGACATCAATTCGTTTTTTTAAAATCACCCTTCATTATTGAGTTTGTTTCGTCTGAACATGTACTTTGGTCTCCATGAGTCATGTAGTAAAAATAAAACAAGACTAAGAACATGCCATGAGGTAAGCATCACATATAAATCTAATGCCAGTATATTTAAGTTAGGGGAAAAAGAAGGAAACTACTAAATATAATAATAGTGAGTGAAGTTAAAATAAAAAATGAACTCAAATAATAATGGTAAAGTTAAATAAATAACATTATAATGAATAAGGAACTCAAACAAAGTAAAAGGTTGATGAAAGATGATTACAAAATGCTATTAGAAAGAAAGGGACTTTAGAGTATGTCATAGTTCCCCTGACTCAGCCTAATAATAAAACACACTTCCCCAAGGGCCAAAGAAGAGAGGTATAAAGAAATGGAGGAAAATTACAAATTTCAATATCATCTTAACTTAGTATGAAATTGCTAAAAAATATTCATGACGCATTTTGAAATTCAACACCATGGCTCACGATACATTTTAATTATCATTTCAAACATGTTTTTATTTCCCAATTTAAGTTTTATGATTTAGACTGGGGCTTTTGAGGGACTTTAATATCTGGACAGAAACCAAGTAAAGCATACTGCTGATGGCTAAGTGCACATCACAAATCACAGTGGACATTGATGCTAGCAACAGAGAGAGTATTATTTCCAAGACATGACTATTCTTTATATGTTTAAAGGCCCAGTGTGTAAGATTTAGTAGCATCTAGTTGTGAGTTGCAGATTGCAACCAACTAAATACTCTGCTTTTCCACATGACTAAATAATTGTAAAAAAGAGAAAGAAATACATGTACTTGGTTCTCCATGACAAATACTCATTTCCTCATGTAAATAAAATGAGACTAAGAATATGCCACGATGTAAGCATTATACTGTGTATTAATCCAATACCAGTATTTTTAAGTGAGTGGACAAAAAAAAACGAAGAAAAAATAATAGTAGAGGGAAATAAATAACATTATAAAGAAAAATGTTATTTGAAAAAAGAAAAACAACTTTAGACTATGTCATCATAATGGTTCCCCTGACTCAGCTTAATAATGAAATACACTTCCCCAAAGGCCAAAGAAGAAAAGAAAAGAAAAGTCAAGAATTGGCCATTCAAATTTAATTTAATTACATTTTTTTCTCATTCATTTATCGTCTTTGGGTTCTAATTATATTCAGTACTCGCATGGTTAATCAGATCCCTCCATGACTGTCTTTGTGATTTCTATGTTTGACAGCAATTAAAGTTTCTTGCCAAGAAGATAGTAATTGACGTCTAGTGGGAAATTTACTTTCAGTATCATTTGAACTTGCCTCCCAGAATGATGTTGCCAAAATATATATATATTGTTATATTTAACAATTGCTGAATTGATCAAAAATATTTATGTTGCATTTAGACATTCAGCACATTTCAAACATGTTTTTATTTCCTAATTTAAGTTTTATGATTCAGTCTGGGGCTTGTGCTTCATTAATGTCTGGAAGGTAGCTGCCGACTCTTGTTTCACAACAACACTCGCTTCGCCAGTTTAAGACTGATGGTTAACTAGATTCCTGGAAAGTTAAGGAGAGTGATTATTTATGCACATGTGTCATATTTCCCTGATCCGTGACAAAGCATGTTAACGGTCCTCTTTCTTGTGACACTAAGTTAATAAAAGGAAATAAAATCCCTGATGTTAAATTATTGTTGTTGATATGAGGTCTGTTCTCATTCAGCAGTTCATGACCATATAACGGTCAGTAAAAATGTATTCAAAAATGTGTTAATCGCTTCACCCACAAAAGGTCCTTGTGCATACAGTCATAAATGAGCACTAAAAATATTAGGCTGATGAAACTAGTAGTATGAGAGATTAGTCGTGGACAGACAGTGATAGGGAAGTGCACGCAGGCACCTCGGTTGAATACATAATCTCCTGGCGAAGATAAAAAATCACTGAATGCATCCTGGCGCCTCCAACTCTGTCTGCATTTGGGTCCGATCTCTGTTGTCCTGCATTACCAACCGTGACAAAATTATTTTCTGGGTACAACCACATGTAGATAATGGGTATAGTCTTATCAAAGAACACGAATAAGATAGTTTGTGATTTATTACTTTCAGTGTGATTGAGGTTGAAAGGCACAATCACCTGTCATGCCATGCCACCAAACTTGCATGATGTTTAATGTCAGAGATGCACATGTAGAATGTAAACTCCTGCAGGGTCACCCACCCACAGATAAATACCCCAACTCAAAGTTGTGTGTGAGGGGGATAAAAAGCAGTCAGTCTTCAACCCTACCATGCTGTTTGTAAATCACAAAAAGTCCCTGACAATTCCTGGAATCCCCAGAAGCTGGCTGCCTCAGAGTTGTCTTTGAGATTATCACTTCCCCATGTTCAACATTAACCTTAGTCCAATTCCTGAAACTAATTATTTGCTATTGTGCGCATGTTGCAATGGAGCGAGCTTTCACCAAAGTAATGCTTGAGCACACCTAAGAGCTTAGCTCTCAGACACTAACAGGAAAAAAACAAGTTCATGATTCATTCCTGATTTTCCCAGCTCCTGTGCTTTTGTATTCAGTATCCGTCTTGGTGTCTGCTGTCTTGTGTGCCTGTGTTTAGTTAGTAAACCATATTATGATAAGGCGGCGATAGTGAATGTTATCAGGCAGAATGCCATTCAAGATGGAGTGTGCAGTATTATACTCTTATATCTGCTATGTTACAGAATGCTATGCAATGCCTTACCATTGCTGAAGAAGGTAATCTGTGCCAAAGACTTGACTTAACAAGACTTAAGACCCTCTTTTCATGCCAGCACAAAGCCCAATTAAAGCAACAATTTTAGTTGTTGCTTTTATTTGGTATTTTCCTGGCTCTAAACCCACTTGTGCCACAGTGTTGTTTAGTGGCGCAGCTGATATTTATTCTTATTGCTCTTTTGTTCTTTCAAATTTTAAATGCTAACACAAATAAAAAAGACATTCTGTGCATTCCAATATGCATACTACCCTACTTTTTAATATGCTAGAAAAAAAGATTTAGCATGTCCCAATAGTATGTCAAATGTAGTATGCCAAAAATATCAGGATGTTCTACTATATCTGGTCGCATCATGCTGTATGCAAGCCAGCATGCTTCTCTGGCTATCCTGACCCACAATCCTTGTGAAAGGAAAAAGTATGCAATTTGCAATGCAGTTTAAGTCCGAGAACCCTGAATATGTGTACCAAATAGATGTAGAGATGTTGCCCTGAACCCACTGGTGGGGCTAGAGGAAGATCAGGGATCCCCGTTGGGATTCATCCTCTGGAGATCCTGAATATCTTTTCATAATCCATTGTTTACCATTCATCCAATATTTACCAGCCGCTACAGCGACACTGGCATTTAGCAGGAACTACCACAGAAGCAGATTTATACGTAATAGTCATCTCTTAACTGCTCCCTCCTTAGATTTAATAGAACATGCTATTCCACTAAATGATATATCCTCGATCACGTTGCAGGGTTTGTTGTGTCGTATTGGCTGAGGTCTGAAGCATTTTAACCACACTTTTCCCCAAATGAAAGTTTAGCCGAGGCCAAGGGGAAGTTTTGTAATATCCAAACATCACGTGAGTTGAATTTCGCCATACTTCCTCTGTGATCCCTACAGAATTCTCTTCAAAATTATCGGTTCCAGTTATGAATGTCATAAATGCACCCTTCCTGAACACTTCTCTCTTCCCTTTTATTAAAAAGTAGAAATGATCAGATTCTTAGCACTCAGCCCACACTGATCACGGGGTAAATTTGATAGATATGTGTCCTAACTTATGTTGGTCAAGTGCTGCCTGTCACCTGTCTCCTCACATCCACTGATGATAAATCTGAAACTTTCCAGCTAAATTCCTCACATGCTCATCAAATGTGATTCACATCTGCTCTTTATTTCTGTGTGGTCTGAGGAGAGATGACCATAAGAGGTCATGCATAATTCCGCATGAGATCTGAGCTTTCCATCAGTGGTGGAAAGTTACTTAAGTCGTGTACGTAACAACAAATTAGAGGTACTTGTACTTTACTTATATTAAATAAAAGTATAATAACTTTTTTTTAGATTTCCATTTTATGCAGCTTCCTACTTCTACTCCACAACATCTCAAATACTGTACTTTTTACTCCTTTCTTCACATTTGTCTGACAGCTTTAGTTACTTCACAGATTAGAATTTTTAAAAACCTTTCCTGTCCACCATCTCCCAATTTAGTGAATTTGAAAGTTTCTGATAAACTCTAGTATTTCTATGGGTTGAGGAAATTCTCATACTTAAGCTCAATAAACAGTTTTAAAACCCCTTGGATCAGCTGGAAAATGCTTCACCACAAAGCTGGAAACAGCTGTTTTCCTGAGCTCGTGAAAAGCTGACGTGATTCTCACAGGACAGAGATGCTACAAACATGATCATCTTCTAGAATATGCTGCATTGCTGCAGATTAAACTAGCCAACAGTTTAGAAAGGTGTGAAAACTGGCACAACCGTAAACATCTACAGCAGTAAAATGCAACAGACACATTAATGCAGCAGTAATATTAATCCAAAAACATCATATATAATAGTAAAACAATGACACGGAACATTTTACTGCACAATAAATACTCTTGGTACAATCTGCTGATAAGACATGCATACTTTTACTGAAGTAAGGTTTTGAAAGCAGGACTTGTGTGCACTGGAGTGTTTTCAGTGTGATGTTAGTGCTTATACTTAAGTAAATGATCTGCATACTTTTATTTTACTTTCTGTTCAATAAAGAAATGGTTAAAATAAAAAATTGTTATACTCTGAAGAGACTCAATCAGCGCGTATTGTTTGAGTGATGCAACAATTGCAGCGTTAGTGTTTCAAACCGCAACATTAGCCCCCCTTTGTTCAGAAGCCAGTCACATCCTTCTGTTTATGCAGAGTGACTGGAGTGACGTCGGGCAGATGTGTCTCAGCCTGTTGAAATTACATCAGACCTCATTCTCATGAAAGTTGTTGGCACATTGCCTGAGGTCTCTTCAGGAATGTCACATGTTTCTTTATATTTCTTGTAGCTGTATTTTTCCACCTGGTGGATTTGTGCCTCTGTTTTGAAAAAGAGTTGAGAAGAAAACCTCTTTTTCTCTTTCTAAATCCCCAAAAAAATAAAATGCTTTATTAAGTTCTGGGAAGCATTTTGCATTACTGAACTTCAACAGCTGCAGCGCATTCAGCTCGGTGTTTGGAAATTCTTGTTATTGTGTTTAAGTGGCTGTCCAACTGCTGACATTTACACAAGTAGGTACGCACTTACACAAAGCTGTTGAATGGACTCTTGCTACAACAAAGTCCCCTTTTTGGAGGTAAAATTGTAGATGATTAAACCGCCAGGGATACATTCGTCAGCCGCTTATTAATGGGCACTATGTATTTTATGACACACTTATCTGTGAATCAGTTGTAGATATGATCAGCGGTGCATCACACTGTTAACAGTCAAGTCTAACTCACAAAGAATTTCTGTCAAGCACACTCATTACATCATTGTGGTTTTCCAAACTATAACTCGGCATTATTGACAAATGTCAACCCAAGTGCCCTCTTGATAAATCAGAGGTGTCTATCAGCAAAAATTCCTGTTCTGCAGCAGACAGCCCCAGTTTGCGCAACATGCCCGAGCAAGGGAAGTGAGTCATCCCCGGGAGACTGCTATAAAGGGAGACGCTCTCCTCTCCAGCGCTAGATTCAAACAGCCGAGGAGAGAAGGAACTGAGCAGGAGAAGAATTCAGTCGATTTTAAAAACCTCCTCTACTTTTTTTCTTAACATTCAAACTTCATCGGACGTCCTTCTCAAAAGATCTACTTAATCTTTAGTGTTGATCGTTGCAGTATTTGAAAAAAAGAAAGAAAAATGATGAGCACCAAAGTCATCGCCTTGTCCATCGGGCTGCTCCTGGCCTGCCTGGTCGTCAGTGAAGGTAAGATTCTTTCCTTATTCAGTAATTGGAACGTAACAGTATTGCCGTGCAACATTCTCGTACTTGTGCGTTGTGCACTTTGTGACCACGTGTGACTCCTTGTCTCCTCACAGGGATGAGTGTGAGAAGCCTGGGATTGGAGCTGCACTGCCGCTGCATCGGTACAGAGAGCAAACCCATCGGCCGCCACATCGAGAAGGTGGAGCTGATTCCTGCCAACTCCCATTGCGACGAGACTGAGATCATGTAAGACCTCATCTCGAAGGCCTTGGCCTCCCATCTAGATAGCGACGATGCTGACACTTTGAGATTTGTTTCCATTGACACTTGTTCTGACCGCATCTCTCTTTTTCCGCTTGGTGTTGCAGTGCCACTCTGAAAAGGACCGGCCAAGAGGTTTGCCTGAACCCTGAAGCTCCCTGGGTGCAAAAAGTGATCAAGAGAATCATGTCCAAGTGAGTGCAGGTCAATCACATACAGTGCAAAGGAACCAGTAGTCATGATTTAACTGCGTAATGTAACCGATCACTTTTGATGCACAAAGTAATCTTCTTCTCCTCTTCCTTTTTCTCTGCAGCAGAAGACGCTGAACAGACCGGCAGAGATGAGCTTCCCCGAGTCTGAGCAGTCACAAAGCAAAAATGGAAAGTACCGAAAAGTATTTGTTGTCATCGCACTCACCTCATTTTAACCGCGGTGGGCCACTGAATGTCCTGATCGACTGTTAAAAAGGGCAACTGAATTCGACCACGACGGTTATGTTTGTATCAAACACGTTATTTATTAACAAGCCATGTGCTTGTTTGTGACTCACTTGTAAGTTGTAGTCAATTCTGCTCTGCTGTCACTTGGCTGCAAGTGTAGCAGCCTGTAGTTTATAAAACTGCATAACTGTTGTCTTGTCCATAACGTAAGTGTTCAGCATATTTATTGATGTATTTATGGACCGTTAATGTATTTTGGATTCAGGTGTGTAGCTATGCTGACTCACCTGTTTAATTAAAAGATTTTACACAAAATTCAAGATGGAATTTGTTTGTTTGTTCTTTTTTTTTTTTTTTCGTTAGTCTTTCCTGCTGGGTCTCTTGCAAGGCTTCAGCCATTGGATGAGCTTTGACTTCAGTAACTGTAACACTTTCTGTGACGCAAGTTACTGTCATGCATTATTCATTATTGATTGTCATTCAAAGGTTCATGTTTTTCTTTAAGTACAGTGAAAAAATATAATGAAATCCAAGCAGAGGAACAACACAGCATTAATTAGATCTTTACTTAAAGCAATGCACATTTAGTCACTTATATCGCATAATAATGTATCATAACGGTTATTATTATGCATCAGTCAAATATAATGATTTACTACTATAATGTATACTACTATAATGAATTATAATGTAATTCACTGATGATCCTTGCAAAAACAGACATGACATAACAGTAATGAAATATTGTGATACTTGACCTGATGAGTAATTATAAAATGCTTGATAATGTTTTATGATTATCAATGTCAAACATTATGGCTATTTATGAGTGCTTAGAACTATTCTTATTCAGTGCAATAGGCAGATAAACAACAAATAACCAACTACGTGCACAGTTGTTACAACAACGTAGGCTTAACAAACTGAAGGAAACGTTTACTTTAAGACTTTTGCTGATTACTTTAAAAATGAAATGAAGTCATACTGTAAGACTCGTTAAAATATACTATGTTTAATACCATTAAAGTACTCAAAGCCACTTCTGTGGTAGTTTCTGCTAGAGGTGACTCCAGGACTGTACTATGATGACACACAGACTCACAAGGTGAAAACAATACCAGCGCCACGCTGTCGCAGCTGGTAATTATAATGTTCTACCAATACACACCCTTCTCTTTTTCACACGAGGAAGTGCTTGGAGTTTGTCCTGGAACTACTCCAAAACACTTCCTTATGGGACTGTAGTCACCACAGATCACCTCACTATCCTCCCACGGGGCCTAACCCTGGGTATATTCCTGCGCGGATTAATAAAGTTTATTGTATGAGTTTGTGCAGCCGACTTCAATCAGACATTCTTTGAGTTGTACTTTTTAAGTGCCCCAATAAATCCAGTCAGTAAGTCGGTAAACTTGGACTCTACCAGAAGTCACATGCACTCTGCTTTGCGTTAACCATCCAATCCCTGCAGATTTTATTGTCAACGGGATGATGCTGCAACAGCAAAGACAATGGTTTCTTTATACTTTGAAATGACAGCTTGATCATCCATGAAAAAGAACTAAAGCGTACTTCAACAATGTAATGTTGCACCGAGACAGATTTAAATAAGAATAGTAAATGCATTATGCATTATGGGTAAGTCTGCAGAGACACTGGATCCTTCAGTCGCCATAATGCAACTCCATAGTGTCTTTTATTAGACACTACAAAAGCCAAAGTTTCACTCGTTCACAGCTTTTCCAATAAATATTTTCTGTTTTCACCGTCTTTTATGGCGGTAAACTTAAGATGTTTGGGAGATGGCTATTGGCCTGTATGTCAATTTATGAAAATGTGACGATCATTTTTTATTATTATTTTTTGGTGGATATTTTATAGATTTGTATCTTAATCCAACTAACCTGCAGATTAATTGATAATGCAAATAATTGATGGTTTCAGCTCGTTTGTAATGCAAGCTTTTTTTCTCTTTTTTTTTTTTAAACCTTCGAGGCCAAGGTGGAATAACCGGGATGACATCATCAGGGTTGTTCATCCACAGTTGACAAAGGTCTCTCCGGAGCCACGGTTTACAACTGGAAGATTAAAGTTAAGGTAAAGCTTTGTGTATTCTCCCCATCCACGTGCCTTACACTGAGATTACTAAGAACCAACTTAACATAAGAAAATATTGTCAGACAACAAACCAACAACTCCAATTGAAAACATGTAATAATCTGATTATTAACAGTATTACATTAAAGGTAGTGGTACATATATAAAAACGCATGGGAAGCTTATGCCACTGTTATTAAGTTAGTATTGACATGATATAATACTATTATTATTATTATCATCATATATTATTATTTTTATCATATATTATTCTTTGTTTGTTATTGGCCTGTGTGAGGATGCAGGCAAAGGGGCGGGACTGAGCGCACAGCCGGTGGTAGGTGCGGTAGTGCGGCGTCTGATTGCGCGCAGAGCGACGACACTCACAGCGCTGGACGGACACACACGCTCTCACACACTCACACATACACACAAACGCGCCCCAGAGCTAACCGGAATGCACACAAAATGCTGCGTCTACGAGCTGTGAAAAGCTGCTGCATGTGAAGACGATAGAGACACCGCGAACGCCGGAAGCTCCCTCGTCCAGATTGAAGCACAAACGCGCGCACGGCGCAGCCGTATTTGCCGCAGAAATCCTCCCCACCAGAGCGCTCTCTCCCTCCCGCCGATGCGCTTCGGCTGTGCATGAATCCCTCCGTTTGGCTTGCAGGGTCCAGGAGAAAAACCCCGGGCGGCGTTGACGACCGAGTGCGGCGGACAGCCCTTCCGTTTGTGAGTGCACCTCATCCCGCGTCTCCGCGCACCCGTTTGGCACCTCCTTCAGGATGGCGTTAACGATCTGCACGAGATTTACCGACGAATATCAGCTGTTCGAGGAGCTGGGGAAGTAAGGAAGCATATATATTTATATATTTGTAATCATCTGGCATCATCTCTGTAGCAAATGTCAGCCTGTTATGTAATAGGCCGCTTGGCTTATAGGGGACGCGGATTCTGGGCTCTCTGTGTGTCTGTGCCGTTTTTGGAGCCTGTGTGTGAGTGCGTGTGCGCGCGGCTGATGGTTTACAAATAAAACCTGTGATGCAGGAGGGGGGGATAAATACGCTATCATGCATGTATGTGCAATGGCATCCTGTTTGTTGTAATCCCTCATTTGAAGCCCTGTTTACTAAACCGACCGAACCTGTCGTCATTTGCCTCCATCCCGATCCCGTGCGGCCACGGGTGTTGCATTTGGACCTCTGGGGGTGCCAGAAGCCCCCCATGTTGTAAACTGAACCGGGGTGAAATGCATTGGGGGAGTGTAAAACTGGTGAAATGTTGCAACAACACCACTCTCTCTCGAGCTCCATCTCCATCTCCCCAAATCATCCTCATCCTCAACCTCATCCTCCTCCCCGCGTGACGGAAATACACGCTTGGTAATGCGACAGCAGACCATGTCGTTGGCGATGACACATTCCCTGAGCCGAGCACCGATCTGCGGTCAATTATCAGACACAGACCAAGGGGATTCCTCACCCCCTGAGAGAGGGAGAGAGAGAGAGAGATAAGCGCGTACATGCGCGTGTGTTTGTGCGTGCGCGCGCTGCGTGGTCATGACCCGCAGTCTGCCCAGCACCCCCAGTGGTTTAGCGCACACAAGTCAGTCAGATATATCTGTAGCCAAAAGCACAGAGAGAACTAGAAATACCCTCCCAGTTTCCCAGCTGTTCTCCTTCTAACTGGAGGGGTTCATCTCCCTCATCTCTTGCACCATCTGTTCGTTAATAATGCAGGCTTATGACTTTTATAGTAGCCTACCTTTTAGCTCACCTGATCCCTTTACATCACCCCCCCCCCCCCCC